GGCAGGTAGGGTGGACTGGGCCCCACTCGTGGAACTAGGTCTTCCAAAGGTGGGAGCTTCGTTTGTATTTGTGGGATACGAAGCAAACTGAAATTCTGATACCTGTGAGCTGTGTTTAAATGCAATCCTTGGCTAGCTTCAGTGGTTGCAATCAGGCATGGTTGACACGAATCCCTACGCATGCTTGACGTGCACCCAAGGGTCCAACCAAATATGTTCTAGACTAATTTCAACCCTGATCAATGACAGTACCCAGTCATCTATTGGGGCAAGCCCCTGGACAGACGCTGAAGCCTCACGAAGCGAGACCTGATTCCCAATCAGAGGACTTGCTTATGAGGAGTCAACCGTAGCCCTTTTGAGGGTGATTCAAAACTAATTTGTGAATGTTCAAGTTCCAGGGGGTCAGAAGAGGGTCCGCACAAGGACATCCCCGTGTTGAACAAGCCTCCATATAATGTTCCAAGTTGTTCGCAGGGAAATGGGAACCTCGCGTTCTTCATTCGACCGGCGCACCTGTTGGGCGATGGTACATTCATGTACATCCCCTTCGAGTTGGCGCAGCGTATGGTTCACAGGGCCGGACCTTTACTGCCCCGAAAGTTGACATGGAACCGATCCTTTCCCCAAGTGACCTGCCTCTTTGCTTTCGGAAGGTTTGGCAGCTCGGGGATGGCATCCCATCATGCCAAATGGTCTGGGTGAAGTATAACGACCTCACATGACCTCACCCAAATGGTGGTTTCTGTGGGGAGTAGCCCCCCAACCACCTTATTTCAGGTTGGTGAAATGTTATATTTCACCCCATGCCAATGGTTGAGGGGGATGGTCACGCTTTCATCGATGGCTCAAGCCGTCTGCCAGGCCAAAGGTGTCCTGGCGGGGGGCTTCGTGCCGCAGGGCGAGGCTCCGAATCAGGACCCGGTGGAGGTTTGTGGGGTCCGGTCGGTCTGTCTCACTTCGTGAGTTGGACTTGAGTCATTTGAAAAAAACAAGCATTTCATATATAGAGTTTTACAATATTTGCATTCGCTCTTCTTTTTTTTTAGGGGTGGCCAATCCGGAATCAGGTGACATGTCTTTTCCAACAGTTTTCTTCTCCACATTGAAACCACCAGGGGCTGGCAATTTGTTGATTTCTGCAGACCCGGAATTGAGCACCCAGTGCCCAAATCTGTAAGAGTCACAGTCCCATTGTCGTCGGACATGAGCACAACCCCTGGTCATGGGCCGGGTTGCAATGTGACACACACACACAAGAGTTTTTGGGTTTGGCGCCTTGTAGTGTCAAACAGTTTGGACTTTTGTTGGCCTATCCACGGAAGACTTCCGTGGATATACCTCCTTGGGCACAAAGGGACCCAAGAAAGCCGAAGAGAAGCTCAATCGAGCCCTCAAACGGTGATGTTCGAACAATAATAGTTGTTTGTTGTTGTCAACAACCAAAAAGAACAGTCTTTGTCTAGGGCCTGATTCCGGCTTGCTTTTTGCGAGCAGTGCATCCAAAGGTTTCCTTCTGATTTGTTTCCGTCTCCTTGCTGGCAGGTTTTGCATTGACTTCGTTGGCTTGCCGGGATGAGCAAATGACCTGGCCATGTGAGTATGTGTTAAAGTAAGAGCCTCCCCCCCCCAGAAAAAAAAAGAAAAGAAAACGCATGGTCGGTGCTCCCCGTAACCCTACCCTCAAAAGGTCAAAACGGATACCCTCAAAAATCACACAGACCGATTTTAGTACGAGACACCACATGTCAGTTGCCCTATTCGCCATGCACAGAGACGAACGCCTTTACAACGGATTTGGGTTACGATTGCTTTTGAGAATAGAATTGGCAAAGGACGTGAAAGAGCTGATATTACGTTACAGATGATCTCGCTATGCGGGGTTGGATGGAGAAAAAGGCAGCGAAGTACGCAGAACAGCATTTGTCACCCCATTTTAGCTGGACACTACAAGGGCACAAGCCGTTTCAGGGGACCAATTCCTATTTTGGAAAAAAAACTCCCAAAGGGACCCAAGAGTCGCTCGGATGGCGCGGAAACGGTTCCAGGAGTTGCTCGTAGAGCTCAAGGCATACCTGCAGCAGATCTGAGAGAGGAGCTGATTTGTTTTCAGTGGGGATGGCGCAAATTGGCAGGCTAAACGCCCACATGTGCATGGCTTACTTTTGGCTGTAATTATCAACCCTATGACTTAGACGCCCACATGTGCATGACTTAATTTGGCTGTATCCCGCAACCCTATGCACTAGTTCCCTGGTTGGTAGCGAGAGAAGAGGTGTAGGTTTGTGTCCTCCAGAAAGATGCCTCTCTTGGGCCTTTCTTAGTTCAGGAAGGAGAGTTGTTACATTTCAGAATGAGCTCAGAATATTGTGGCTGTTGTCCACATGTTGTACATGTACCTATGAAGTACTATATATATATATAATGTGATATGCAAAACACATACGAAGTGACCATAGGTAAACAGCCTCCTTTCTAAACTGGGGCAAGATAAACCCCGTTTCATTAATGAGGGGTGTCCCGTCTCACGGTGAATGTAAATATCACGTTTGGGGGAACACGCCTCCCGGTTTATTGGCACTGACACTGGGTCCACGTTGCATCAATTGGGAAGCAATTAACCTCCCTAACTGGCCAAAAGGTTCGCTTCTGCGAAGCATGTCAGCGTCTGAATGCTCCCACCTCAGCGCAAGTTTCACGGGACCCAAAGTGAGTCACAGAGTTTCACAAGGACAAGCAGCCCACGTCTCCATTTGCATCGGGCAATGCACCTAAAGATGCCATCCAACAAGCCCTCAGGATCTGGGAATCCTCAATGCGGGCTCATTGGATGTTTGGTGCTTGTATGCAGCGCGGCCTGCTGCTTAGATGGAATTCATGGTGTCACAAAAGTGCGCTCCAGCTGTGGATAGGCAGATACTGCTCGGTTGTGCCGTTTCGCAGGCTTGTTGCAATTGTCAAAAACACGGGCAAAGTTGCTTGTGGTGCCCAGTGCCGGTAAGGCGCCACTGCATGCACCTCCTGGGAGTAGGCCGTTTGGGTTTCCATTGTTGCGGCTTCACAATCTTCCCCCTGGCAACCTGTGTGGCCGTGCCCATTGAAGGGCAGTGCCCAAATGCGCGTGAAGTACGTCAGGCTCTTGATCAACGCTCAAAGTGCCTCTAGGTGTTTTTGTTATTCTTCCTGAGTCTGAGGGGCAGTGCCCAATTCGATGCAATGAGGGCTTGTCAGACCACAGTCCAATTAATTGAAGTCCATTCAATCTTGGCCGCAAAGGTAAGGGCCTACCGGAGCATGGCTTACCCCAAGCGAAACTAGACAACCGTGCCACCGCGTTTGTTTTGGGATTCTCCATCTTGGGATGGAGTATCTTCAATGGCTTGTCCCCAACGCCCCCATTTGAGTCGGAGAAAAAAAAAAAAAAAAACGGAACAAAAAGAAAAACGTTGTATGTGTCAATGTAAGGCATGATCCCAGGTCTTTTGGACCTATCAAATTAGCTGCACCGCCGCTTGTAATTTGAATGGCAGGAGTGTGTTGCAGGAGCGGCCGCGCAAGTCAAACATGGGGCCGCGCAAGTAAAGCGCAAGTGAAGCGCAAGTGACGCAGTGATGATTCATCATCATCATCATCATCATCATCATCATCATCATCATCATCATCATCATCATCATCATCATCATCATCATCATCATCCGCATGGTCGAAAGAATCCGGAAGATTGCTAAGTTTTCGCGCAAGTCGCGCGCAAGTCGCGCGCAAGTCGTAGATGCCTTGGATCAGGAGTGGCCCATTTCTGTCTGTAGTTTGCATTTTCTTTGTTTCTACAGATCCCAGCAATGAGTTGCAGCAGCCAGCAGCAGCAGCAGCAGCAGCCAGCAGCAGCAGCCGCAGCAGCAGCAGCCAGCAGCAGCCGCAGCAGCCAGCAGCAGCAGCCAGCAGCAGCCAGCAGCAGCAGCAGCAGCCAGCAGCAGCAGCAGCAGCCAGCAGCAGCAGCCGCAGCAGCAGCAGCCGCAGCAGCAGCAAGCAGCAGCAGCAGCAGCCAGCAGCAGCAGCCAGCAGCAGCAGCCAGCAACAATGTGCAGCGGTGTACACACCTGAGACCTCATACACTTAAGGGGCATGTTTTTGGGGGACCTCACTCTTATGAAGACCGCCGCTTGGATTTGCAATGAAAACATCCTGGGATAAGAGTTTTAATACGGTTTTTTTCCAGCTCATTTGTTGTTTTGGTGTAGATATCCGTGAAGGTATCTTTCATGGCTGTCGGAGTGTTTTTGAATTGAAAGAAACCCATGTTTGGCCTTTTGGCAAGCCCCTGGCTTTGGACACACCCATCTCCGCAAGATGGTTACTGTTGACCCCGGATTTTGAAATCCATGTCGATTGGTTTAATTGGGGTGCGCATCCTAGTCTAGGGGAGTGCGGATCACGTTGGATATTTTGCGTGTTCTTTGGTTCCGAACTGACGCTTTCCCCGCTTACCAGCAACAAGTGAGACCCTTTTGCGAGCATGAATCCATCTGGGTGAATTTTAACGACCTCACACGACCTCACCCCAAATAGTGGTTTATGTGGGGAGTATAGCCCCCCAACCGCGTTCTTTCACCCAGATCCATGGACAACGCGGCTCCCACTTGTCGACCCATCCCCAAGATCAAGAGCCATTCGTGCTCACTGCCTTCAAATCGCGACTATCATCACGAATCACGAATGCTTGAGGCTGCGCTGTGTGGTTCCTTCGCCAAATATTTGCTTCACATTTTTGTTCACCGGGCTGAATTATCATTCATTGTAACTACCAAAGTTCACCAGTCCTGTGCTCTTGAGCTTGACAAGTCCCATAATTGGATCAGCCAATTTTGGGGCTCGGCAGAGGTGTGCAGAGGGTCCCAAAACCAGCATTTCAGAGGGCGGCTTCGCTTGCATCGCTTCTTCGGAGACGTACCCATGCCATTAGTATTGGTCAATTGTTTCCTTGTGCGCTGCGTCCCGGTTCCAGCGGGGGGGGGGAACGGTCGATTTGGCGCGAAAGCGCGTCGCGCGGAAACAAATCGGCCGGGAGGCTGGAGATCGAATCGGAGCGTAGGTCTCACCCTGGAGTCTCCATAGCTCAATGGGGCCATGACCATTGGTGTCCTTTTTAGGTTAGTTTGGATAGAAATAGATGGCACTGGTTTAGATGGTTGTTGTTCCATCTAGCAGGGCCAACAATTTTACCAAACGGACGCCTGGGCCTCTTGGTGGGAAATGACGCCCATTTTTAAAGGGTCATGGAGCAGGAACATTTTTTGTGATTGCGATATTGTTAGCTGCAAACCTCTCAGGCATGTTGCATCTCCATGCATTTCCATGGTTAGCAAATGCAGAATGCCAAATTGTTGTTGGTGCGCAAACCATAACTGGGAGTGGGTGGGCCTTGTGTTGGCCTTTGTTGGTGTATTGGAGCAACACCCTTTGATTTGCTGTGTTATTTCCTGCTGTTTTGCCCAGCTTTGTTCTTTTGGTTGGAATTTGTGTTCTTCATTTTAGACAAGACCGGCCCACACAACTAGTTTAGGCTTTGTTTGGCCAGCCGACTCGACAGGTCAGTGTTGTGTGTTTGTGGCCCTTTGGAGGTGATGCTGCCCAAGAGTGTTGTTTCTTGTATATATATGAGATCGAACTTGACAATGGGCCCGCGGCTCCCCGACACTTCTCGGGTCTCGGGTCTCGGGTCTCGGGTCTCGGGTCTCGGGCCTCGGGTCTCGGGTCTCGGGTCTCGGGTCTCGGGTCTCGGGTCTCGGGGTCTCGGGTCTCGGGTTTCGGATCTCGGGTCTCGGGTCTCGGGTGTCGGGTCTCGGGTCTTGGGGTCTCGGGTCTCGGGTCTCGGGTCTCGGATCTCGGGTCTCGGGTCTCGGGTCTCGGGTCTCGGGTCTCGGGTCTCGGGTCTCGGGTCTCGGGGTCTCGGGTCTCGGGTCTCGGATCTCGGGTCTCGGGTCTCGGGTCTCGGGGTCTCGGGTCTCGGGTCTCGGATCTCGGGTCTCGGGTCTCGGGTGTCGGGTCTCGGGTCTTGGGGTCTCGGGTCTCGGGTCTCGGGTCTCGGATCTCGGGTCTCGGGTCTCGGATCTCGGGTCTCGGGTCTCGGGTGTCGGGTCTCGGGTCTTGGGGTCTCGGGTCTCGGGTCTCGGGTCTCGGATCTCGGGTCTCCGGTCTCGGGTCTCGGGTCTCGGGTCTTGGGTCTTGGGTCTCGGGTCTCGGGTCTCGGGTCTCGGATCTCGGGTCTCGGGTCTCGGGTGTCGGGTGTCGGGTCTTGGGGTCTCGGGTCTCGGGTCTCGGGTCTCGGATCTCGGGTCTCGGGTCTCGGGTCTCGGGTCTCGGGTGTGGGGTCTCGGGTCTCGGGTCTCGGTCTCGAATCTAGGGCGCGCGTAAGCAGGCATGTGCGCAGTGCTGAGCGGGCTCGGGTCTCGGTATCGGGTCTCGTGTCTCGGGTTTCGGATCTTGGGTCTTGGGTCTCGGGTATGTGTACAGTGCTGAGCGGGTGCGCATGAGGGAGCGTTTGGCAGGCATGTGGCGCAGTGCTGAGCGGGCTCACGTGAGCGGGCGTGCTTACCATTTGGCAGGCGTGGGCACAGTGCTGAGCGGGTGCAGGTGAGCGGGTGTGCTCACCATTTGGCAAGCATGTATGCAGTGCTGAGCGGGTGCACGTGAGCGGGCGTGCTTGTCATTTGGCAGCAGAGCGAGCGGGTGCAGCTGAGCGGGGCGTGTTTGCGATTTGGCAGGAGCGGGTGTGCTGACCACTTGGCAGGCATGTGTGCAGTGCTGAGCGGGCGGACGTGAGCGGGCGCGCTTACCATTTCGCAAGCATGTGCGCAGTGCTGAGCGGGTGCACGTGAGCGGGCGTGCTTACCATGCTCTCCAGCACACTTCCCCGGCACACTCCCCCGGCACACTGCCCCCGCAGAGCAGGCACACTCCTCCAAGTACAGTGGCAGGCATGGGTGAGCGGGCGCAGGTGAGCAGGTGTGCTCACCATTTCGCAGGCATGTCCGCAGTGCTGAGCGGGTTCGAGTGAGCACTGTATCCATGCCAGGCACAGGGTAAGAACACCCGTTCAAGTGCGCCCGCTCAGCATCCATGCCAGGCACATGGTAAGAACACCCGCTCAAGTGCACCCGCTTAGCACGAAGCGGGCGCGCTTGAGCGGGTGTTCTTACCATGTGCCTGGCATGGACACAATGCTGAGCGGGTGCACTTGAGCGGGTGTTCTTACCATGTGCCTGGCATCGACACAGTGCTAAGCGGGTGCACTTCAACGGGTGTTCTTACCATGTGCCTGGCATGGATACAGGTGCACTTGAGCCTTATCATGGACACAGTGCTGAGCGGGTGCACTTGAGCGGGTGTTCTTACTATGTGCCTGGCATGGACACAATGCTGAGCGGGTGCACTTAGCGGGTGTTCTTAACGTGCCCTGCATCGATTACGTGCTAAGCGGGGTGCGCTTGAACGGTTTTCTTCCATTTATGCCTGGCATGCAGCGGCGGGGCGCTTGAACGGGTGTTCTTACCATGTGCCTGGCATGGACACAATGCTGCGCGGGTGCACTTGGCGGGTGCTCTTACCATGTGCCTGGCATGCAGTTCTGAGCGGGTGCACTTGAGCGGGTGTTCTTACCATGTGCCTGGCATCGACACAGTGCTAAGCGAGTGCGCTTGAACGGGTGTTCTTACAATGTGCCTGGCATGGATACACTGCTAAGCGGGTGCACTTGAGCGGGTGTTCTTACCATGTGCCTGGCATGGATACAGTGCTAAGCGGGTGCGCTTGAACGGGTGTTCTTACCAGCATGGATACAGTGGTAAGCGGGTGCACTTGAACGGGTGTTCTTACCATGTGCCTGGCATGGATACAGTGCTGAGCGGGTGCACTTGAACGAGTGTTCTTACCGTGTGCCTGGCATGGATACAGTGCTATATGCGATTGAACGGGTGTTCTTACCATGTGCCTGGCATGCAGTTCTGAGCGAGTGCACTTGAGCGGGTGTTCTTACCATGTGCCTGGCATGGATACAGTGCTGAGCGGGCGCGCTTGAAGGGGTGTTCTTACCATGTGCCTGGCATGGAAACAGTGCTGAGCGGGTGCACTTGAACGGGTGTTCTTACCATGTGCCTGGCATGGATACAGCGCCAAGCGGGTGCACTTGAACGGGTGTTTTTTACCATGTGCCTGGCATGGACACAGTGCTAAGCGGGTGCACTTGAATGGGTGTTCTTACCATGTGCCTTGCGCGCATGCAGTGCTAAGCGGGTGCACTTGAACGGGTGTTCTTACCATGTGCCTGGCATGGATACAGTGCTAAGCGGGTGCACTTGAACCTAAGCGGGTGCACTTGAACGGGTGTTCTTACCATGTGCTGGCATGTAGTCAGTGCAGTCATGTGCGCTGCAACGGTGTTGTTTCTTACATGTGCCTGGCAGGGATACAGTGCTAAGCACTTGAACGGGTGTTCTTACCATGTGCCTGGCATGGATACAGTGCTAAGCGGGTGCACGTGAACGGGTGTTCTTACCGTGTGCCTGGCATGGATACAGTGCTAAGCGGGTGCGCTTGAACGGGTGTTCTTACCATGTGCCTGGCACGGGTACAGTGCTAAGCGGGTGCACTTGAACGGTTCTTGGCATGTGCCTGGCATGGATACAGTGCTGAGCGGGCGCGCTTGAGCGGGTGTTCTTACCATGTGCCTGGCATGGAAACAGTGCGGAGCGGGCGCGCTTGAGCGGGTAATGTGTGTTGCTGGCATGGATAGAGTGGTGAGCGGGTGCACTTGAGCCTTATCATGGACACAGTGCTGAGCGGGTGCACTTGAGCGGGTGTTCTTACCATGTGCCTGGCATGGACACAATGCTGAATGGTGCACTTGAGCGGGTGTTCTTAACATGCCTGGCATCGATACAGCGCTAAGCCGGTGCACTTGAACGGGTGTTCTTACCTCATGCCTGGCATGGATACAGCGCTAAGCGGGCGCGCTTGAACGGGTGTTCTTACCATGTGCCTGGCATGGACACAATGCAAGCGGGTGTTCTTACCATGTGCCTGGCATGGATACAGTGCTAAGCGGGTGCACTTGAATGGGTGTTCTTACCATGTGCCTGGCATGGATACAGTGCTAAGCGGGTGCACTTGAACGGGTGTTTTTACCATGTGCCTGGCATGGATACAGCGCTAAGCGGGTGCACTTGAACGGGTGTTCTTACCATGTGCCTGGCATGGATACTGTGCTGCACGCATGCAGTGCTAAGCGGGGGCACTTGAACGGGTGTTCTTACCATGTGTCTGGCATGGATACAGTGCTAAGCGGGTGCACTTGAACCTAAGCGGGTGCACTTGAACGAGTGTTCTTACCGTGTGCCTGGCATGGATACAGTGCTATATGCGCTTGAACGGGTGTTCTTACCATGTGCCTGGCATGGATACAGTGCTAAGCGGGTGCACTTGAACGGTTGTTCTTACCGTGTGCCTGGCATGGATACAGTGCTAAGCGGGTGCGGACATGCTACATTTGGTATTGTTGAAAGCTCTCGGTTCTCGGGTCTTGGGTCTTGGGTCTCGGGTCCTATCTCGGAGTCTCGGGTCTCGGAGTCTCGGAGTCTCGGGCCTCGGATCTTGGATCTCGGGTCTCGGAGTCTCGGGTCTTGGAGTCTCCGGTCTCGAGTCTCGGGGTCTCGGTTCTCGGGTCTCGGAGTCTCGAGTCTCAGGGTTTAAGATTTTTTTTGTGCATCTGTGCCTTTTCTTCTGGCTTCTGTGCCTTTTTGGCGGGCTGCAATTTGGCTTTGAGCACCAACTTGGTATTTGAGTTTTGGGTATGCAAGATGTTTGCAGGTTTCAGGCCAAACTGTTTTGAAATTGTTTTGTGATCGGTATTTGCTCACCCAAACATTTTGCTGAAATGCATTGCGCTGCACAACCCCAGGCAGTGGGCCCCAATAGTGAAGACACCCCAACTCCTTTGCCCCTTTTATGCGGTTTGCAAACATTGAGGCGTTTTTAACATATTGAGCCAGTCCCACTCAAGCCCCTACTCCACCAATTCTCCTGCAGGCCGTAGACTCAGGTACTCAGCCAAGGTTACCAAGGACAAGCATGGCAAAGGCAGGGCTGAAGGGTCAAAGCCGGTCGAAAGCACAAAAAGGCGCTGATCAAGTGCCTGTGCAAAGAAAAAGGCGCTGAGCAAGTGCCTATGCGCTGAGCAAGTGCAAAGAGCGCTGAGTAAGTGCTCTGTCGCTTCGGTCGTTCCTGCCTGGATGCACTTGACAAGTCTTGGAGAAGCTGGTTGGTCACATCACAAAATGTCACCTTTTGAAACGCTGTGTCAGATCATTGCTGGCGGCCGTCCAGAGGTGGTAGAACCAACCCACTGTGCAACAATGACTCGTTAAACAAACCCATCAACAGGACACACACACAGCCATGACTAATGACCGGATGTGCTATTGGATTCTTTAAGTCGCACCCATTTACAGGGCACAGACAAAAAGGCGCTGAGTAAGTGCCTGGGCGCTGAGAAAGTGCAAGTGACCGCTGAGCAAGTGGAGAACTGGTTTCATCCCTGAAGACGCATGTGAAGCCTCATCCACTGAAGGTTGAAAGAAACGTTAGCACTCTTTTGTTTGGGATTCGGGCGCAATTCCTTATGTGTCCTTCCCTCTCCACCCCCCAACTGTGTCCTCAGGACCTGGACACTGCACCAGCAGCTGCCAGAACGTTCCTCGGCTGCATTCAATGACGAGCTTTCAACTTAACGGGCAATGCGCGCAGCAATGCATGCACAGCAATTCCCCTCTCGCACTTTTTTGCCCTGCGATGTTCGCTGGAAGAGGTCAGTCTGACATGGCAAAGCGGTTCCGAAACGCATGTGTTTTGTGCTGGTCCGATTGTCTCGTTACACATGGCTTGTTGTTTGTTCCGCATGTGCTGTGCTGCCTGTCCTGAATTTTCGTTCACCGCTCTTTGCCACATTCGCCACTCAGCAGTGTTGCACCTGGCTGTCATTCTCTCCTCTCTTTTTTCCCTCTCTCTCTCTCTCTTTCTCTCGCTCTCTCTCTGTCTCTCACTCTCTCTCTCTCTCTCTCTCTTTCTCTCTCTCTCTCTCTCTCTCTCTCTCTCTCTCTCTCTCTCTCTCTCTCTCTCTCCCTCCGTACCTGTGTTGACACTTGCTCAGCGTCATGGGACACTTTGTCAGCGTCAGATTAATCAAACTTGCGCAAAGGCATCCCGAGAAAGTGAAACTTAAACCCTCCCACATGCCTCCTTTGCGCGCGGCGATCCTGGCACAGTGTGTCGCAGCAGCTTGGTCCAGTTTAGTTGCTGGTCCTCCTCACCTTTCTTTCATTTTTTCTTCTTTGGTGGTTGCGAGGCTGAGGGCTCCTGGCGCAACATGAAATTGCCATACTGCGCATCCATTGGTGGACATGCCTGGCACTGATGTGCTGCTTCTGGATCTGTTGCTGGCGCACTTCTCCTAGGCTGTGCCTGACACATTGTGCGTCAGTGATGTTGATTGCTGCATGCTGCGCTTTCGCAAGATCTCGTACTGGGACACTCACTCAGCGTCCGGAACACTTACTCAGCGTCCATGACACTTGTCCAGCGTCTGGTTTTAACATCCCGACCCCCTGCGCCTTGGCCTTGAACTTGCTGGATGCAGCCCGCTGTTCTGCCTGGACAGGCGTGATTCCACTCAGCATTGACACTCACTGCTACGTAGACAGTCGCGCCTTCTTCCTCCCGGGATCCTGTTGCTGCTGCAGCTTCTCATCTTTCGCCTCAGCCTCCATTCTGAGCAATGCTATCGCCGCCTGCAAGTCTGAGATCTTGCTTTCCATCGCCACCTTCTCGTTCTGCTTCGACTTCAGCGCCGCCTCCAGGTCTGCCAGCAACGACCCTCTGCTGCAGCCTTTTGCAGTGGGCCTCCCAGGTTGTGCACGGGTGCTGGAACCGCCTGAGCTCAGCTTCTTTCTGTTGAAGGGCCTGAGTGCTCTGGGCCTGGGCGGTGACCAGCTCATGGGTGTGCCGCGCAACAAGCTGGCTCATGTCCGCGGTGTACTTCTCATCGAAGCTGTTGCGCAGCATTGCCATGGCGCGGTCGTGCTCCAAGTTGCTCAGCCGAAGCTTGGTCTCCCACTTCTCCTCGCATTGCTCGAGGTCCCGCTCTGCCCGCCTCAGGTCCTGGCGAACCCGCCAAACCTCATGGCGCCTCTCCTGCGCAGCATCATGGCGGTGGCCGTGGCGTTCGCCCTTCTGACCTTTCTCGCCTTTCTCGCCCTTCTCGCCTTTCTCGCCGCCCTTCTCGCCCTTCTCGCCGCCGCCCTTCTCACCGCCGCCCTGGCTGCCGCCACCCTTCTCGCCGCCGCCCTTCTCGCCGCCCTTCTCACCCTTCTCGCCGCCTTTGCTGCCCTTCTCGCCGCCTTTGACGCCCTTCTCGCCTTTGTCGTCGTACTGCCGCTCGCCGCCTTTGATGCCCTTCTCGCCGCCGCCTTTGACGAAGCCCTTCTCGCCGCCTTTGACGCCCTTGTCGTCGCCCTTCTCATCGCCTTTTGCGCCACCGCTGCCCATCTTGCCGCCGCCTTTCTCGCCGCTGCTGCCACGAGCATTGACGCCCTGGCCCTTTTGGCCTTTCCAGCGCCAGTCCACCTGGCCTTTCTGGCCCTTGCTGTCCATGGCTGCCGCTCAGGAAGCAAGTGAGACCTGCTGCACACCTGTTGGCTTTGTTGACTCGCTGCTTGCATGTGGTGCTCCGCTTGGCTGTTCTGGTTGGGTGCCGTGCTTCTTAGGCTACATGACATGTTTCAAACGCATGTTAAACATGTGAGCCATGACCTGCGCGGGCATGCTCATTTATCTATCTCTGTCTTTCCGTCTTTGTCTCTGTCTCTTTCCCTCAGACCATCTCAGACCATAATGCGCGCGATTGACACTTGCTCAGCGTCATTGACACTTGCTCAGCGTCATTGACACTTGCTCAGCGTCATTGACACTTACTCAGCGTCACCATGCACACTTGTGCAGCATCATTGGCATCTTGCAGCACTGCTATGAAGCCAAGGTTCAGCGGCTCAGCTTCGCCATCACCAGCACACGGTGGACCTGCAAGGCGGGAGTCATGGCCAACATCGCATGTGCAATGAAGCATGTGCCGCTGAGAATAGTGGCAGCGACGCTGAGAAAGTGTCATTTTTGGAGAGACGCTGAGCAAGTGTCACAACAAAAACAAACATCACAGTGATCGCATGCCAATGGATGTCTTGAATCACTGTCGGTGTTGGTCAGCCGCATTTTGCCAGCCAAGTCAGCCCGACCACAACCCGCTACAAGGTCATGGCGCACAGAGGTGTTGAAAAGCTCCTTTTGGTTGAGGGGCTGACTAAAGCAGGCTGTGACCCTAAGCTGGCAAGATGCTTGGTCACCATGTGGGTGCATGAGTGGCAGAACATGTGGTCCGAGTATGAGCCCTTTGTCAGCTTTCTGGAGTCCAAGTTCTACCGTTTGGAAGCTGAGATAAATGGCAAGCCTGCTATGTGGGGGCGCGCAGTGGTGTCTGTCAAAGAACTGGAGGCGAATTGGGCAAAGTTGGTCTTGGTCCAGATCTTGGAAATCACCCTTGAAGCTGACTAATGTACTAAGTGTTTAAGCGCAATGCTCATGTGCCCCTAATTCAGCCTTATGAGGTGCTACCATGCCCTTGGCTGTGCATTGCAGCAGCTCGCACCAACGAGCGATTAAAACGATGAAAAGGCTTGCCCACTCGCCGAACATTGTGTATTATGACTGCGTGCGTGCGCGTCTGTGCGTGCGTGTGTGCGTGTGTGCGTGTTTGCGTGTGCGTGTGCGTGTGTGTGTGTGTGTGTGTGTACGTGCTTTGTGTGTTCAGACATGCTGTTTTTCTGTGGTGTGTTTCTTGTTTTTTGCGTGTTTTTGGGGACCTATGGGAGTCCGCCTTCCCCGGGAGAAGGCGGACTCCCATAACTCCCCAAAATCACGCAAAAACACAACGCAAAAGACGCACAACGTGCAGAAACCTGCGGAAAACAGCGCCTGGAAGGTCTCGATGCAAGCCTGCCACTGCAGCTGCGCCAGGAGCAGAGCCTTAGGTTGAAATTCATTCGTCATCAGCTGACTTGAACTTGATTCACAGCAAGCCCAGAATTAAATGAGCCAATCAGGGATTGAACCGGAACCCATTCCACTCAGGACAACGCTCGACATCAAGCAGAACCAGCGCAACCCGTTTGCCCGGCCTGGTTTATATGACCTAACGGTTGCAATTTCTGCGTGAAATTTCCTGACAGAGAAGACGATTTTGACTAATTGCCAGGACGCTGACTAAGTGTCAGGACGCTGATTAAGTGTCAGGACGCTGATTAAGTGTCAGGAGAATGATCAAGTGTGGGCTGCCCGGCAGGACGCTGATCAAGTGTCAGGACGCTGATCAAGTGTCAGGACGCTGATCAAGTGTCAGGAGCTACTGAACTCAGCAGAAATTTCTCCATCCTTGCGTGACACATTGACGCAAAGTTGCTGTGGATTGAGCATGGTGGTTCAAGAAGAAGACACGGGCCACCTTCCCCATGCACACACACACAGACAGACACTGCGCATCCCCGCATCACCTCAAGCAGGTAAGGGCCAAATTGGCAATCTTGTTGTCTGTGCCTCCTTGATGAGATGGCCGCCGCACATGACGAAGTTGAGCTTCCAGATGATTCAGACTCTGATTGCTTGGAGCTGCCGTCACCAGACAGTGACAACACAGAGCCAGCGCCCAGCTGTTGCGCTCAGGGCTGTTTAGCTGCCTTTGCCGAGTCCCCAATGTTGAAGTCCAACCTGGCAGACTTGCGAACAGCAATCAAGAAGTCCACCAAGTTTGATGCCGATTCGGTGCGGTTTGATTGCTTGCGCCAATGGCTAGATGGCTCAGGTTGGAGAAAGCACAAGTTCTGCGGCATGCCACTTTGCAGAGAAGCTGTTTGCCATGCGCTGGTTATGAGCAAGACAGTGTACAGCAAGCTCTCTGACCACATTGCAGCCGGGTTTATCAACGCGCCAGCCGATATGAGAACTGTTGGTGCAAATCAGAAGCACAGTGAGAAGGCGCAGCTCAGTGCCACTGTCTTGTTGCAGTGGATTCACCAGCACCTTGCCGAGCCCTTGGTCGAGTCGGCCGACTCATACGTGGCAGCAAAGAAGAAGCTTGGATCTTTCAGCATGACTGGCTCTTTCACCAACCTGTCAGGGCTGAAAGAGGTTCGATTCTTGCCGCCTCACACCTCTTTGACTGAAATCCGGCTGACAGTGCCTTCCTCTATTGGCATTTTTTGAACCGTCGCTTTGCTTGGAATTTGCTTTCTTGTTAATGACCAGCTATCAGACCTGCCAAGCCTTGTGTCGCTACCCAGGCAATGAGCTTCATTCCAGACTTGTCCCCGGTGCCATCGTACAGCACATTTGTGCAGGTCTTTCACAAAGAGTGGCAGCAGACTCTAAAGTTCCGGCATGAGGGCCAGCATTCAAAGTGCACAGAGTGTGAGAAATTCAAGCAGTACATCAGGATCGCTCAGTCTGCAGCTGAAAAGCAGATGATCAGGCAGAACTATTCGCAACACATTCAGGGCATGCTTGAAGACCGGAAGGTTGACGCTGTGTTAATCCAACGTGCGACCGATTACGACCTCCTGAATCTGACCATAGACTCTATGGACTGTGCGAAATGGAAATGCCCCCGCAATCTGGCAGGCACGAAGGAGTTTTCAGCCCTGTGGCGCCCTGAATGCACGTTCACAGCAGTGCTGACAGAAGGGCACAGCGAAAATTTCTTTTTGATGAATCAGAACATTGTCAAGGATTCCGACCTCATGATGACACTGTTGTCCCGCGCCATTCACAGGGCTGTGCAGCACCTCCAGGAACGCAACAAACCAACACCCAGGATGGTTCGAGTTCATTGCGACAACGCGCCTGGCGAGACGAAAACCAGCATGTGTTGCGCTGGTTGGGGTGGCTCGTGCACAGAGGCATTTTCGAGGAAGCCCATCTGACATCGTTCCGTGTTGGACATTCACATGGTGCTGTGGATGAGCGGTTTGCGGCAATCAGGCTGTTGCTCGCGGATTCCATGGAGTTGCAAGACCCTGATGATTTTATGTGCAAGGTGCAGAAGCTGAAAGGCAGAAGCGGCCGCAGCGTGCATGTGGAACAGGTCCATGCGAGTGGGGCTTTCAAGCAGATGTTTGCCGGCATGCAGGACATTGCTTTGACGGGACATACGCAGTCGAAGACCCATAACCAAGCCAACAAGGAGGCACCTCATTGTTTCCAACTGAGGAAGCGGCGCAACGCTTTGCTTGATCCAGGCGACCCCCCGATTACTGAAATCCCAGGATTTCCTCCGCACAAGGACGACATTATCTTGAGGATTTTTCAGCACCTTAGCAGCCCAGAAGAGGCGCAGCCACCACTCACCTTCGTGCCAGTTTCGCACTGGGCAACAGTGCAGTCTGCATATCCAGAAGAGGCCCCAAGGAGGGCGTTCACCGAGAAGCAAGTTCATGAGTTTACAAAGACTGCTTCTGTGGTGGCTGGGCAGCCTTGGGGTTTGCGTCGCGCAAGCCAATATTTGAAAGATCTTATTGCCGACACTGGAGCAGGGCCCATGATGCCAAATATTTCTTTGGCACTGACTGCCCCAGCTGTCGCTGAACCAGTGCATGCACGTGCAGAAGCAATCACTGCTGAAGACTTGAGATTTTCGAACCGCCCTCCAACGCATGTTGCTGTCAAGGCAAAGGCCACAGCAGCCAAGTCCAAGACCAGAAAGCGGGAGGTTGCCACCACAGACTCTCACCGTGACAGTGCCAAGAACAGACGCATTGAGACAGATGGCCCTGGCCAAGATGCCCATGCGAATCCGGAACTCCCTTCGAGTGAAGAAGTGGACCTGCCACCATCTCCAGGCAGCGCAGCAGCAGGCCCTGAAATGGCTCCAGCCACAGGCGCAAGCTCTACACAGGGCTGCCCAGAGTCCATGCGTGGGCGTAGCGGGGCTCCAGAGAGAATTGCTGTTCCTGAAGCCCCGCCCCCCGCAGCACAGCCTGTCATGAAAAGGCCAGCGGCTGCAAAAGCAAGCTCACAATTGCCAAAGCAGCTTGGCAGGCTGCCATTTCCAGATGATGTGAATGACAAGCTTGGGTGCCCCAAGTGCAATCACAACCGGCGGATTGGTTGCCAGCGGTGTCGGAAGGCAGTTGGATTGATTTTGAACACTGAGAAAACGGCATGGGTCTGGGCAAATTGCACATAGCCCATATATCAGGCAGTCAGTGTCAGCTTCACATTCGCGAGACTAAGATCTGCCAGCTGCGAGAAAGTTTAAAGCCAGAAAATAGGCTGAGGCAATGCAACCACGTGTGAGCTTATGCGCAGCCAGGGGCGTTTCTGGAATTGTGCCCGTTTGCCAGGTGACTCCAGACCGTTGCAAGGACTCGCGGAACAAGGCGGGCAGATTCTTGCGGCGCAAGTGCAGACTTGGACCCTCTGTGAAAGCTAGACACCTTTGTTTTGGCAGCCCATTTGGCACCCCGGATCCGGACCGTTAGCAGTTCCTTTAAGCATGGCTTCGTCCAAGCCACTTGGTGGCCCTTCGGTGGTCCTCTTTGTGGGCGACTTGGAGCCAGACGTCACCATGGTGGAAAGCAGTGACGAGGAAGACGAGCCTGACGATTTTGCAGAGCTGTTTTCTGCCCCCAGGGTGAGTTTTTCAGTGCAACGTCGGGGACTTTTGGCCACGTTGGCTTTGGATTTGAAAAGCGGCTACGACTTTGTGTCCAGTTCCGGCCGCGGAGATGCACTTCGGATGTTGGCACTGAAGAAGCCCAGATTCATCATGATCAGCCCACCTTGCACTCTGTTTAGCATCCTTGAGAAGTGCTTCCGCAGAAGCGGTGGGACGAGGCCATGGTCATGCTGGACTTCGGCGCTATGGTTGCCCAGCACCAGCTGCGCAACGGGCAGTTCTTTGCCTTTGAACACCCGGCGGGGGCTACCAGCTGGTCGCAGCCAAGCCTTCAGGCTTTGGCAAATGATCCAAGATGCTTTTCGGTGGACTTCGACCAATGCCAGGTGTGTCTCCGATGCCCAAAAACTGGGAAGCTGATCAAAAAGAGAACACGCCTTCTGAGCAATGCACCTTTGATCAAGGACATCTTCGCGCCGCTCCAGTGCAAGTGCACAAGTCCGCATGCCCACATCGAGGGAAGCGTGAATGGCATGAGCCTCTCTGTCTTCTGCCAGCACTACCCCGCAGAGTTCTGTGAGAAACTGGCCGAGGCAGTTCAGCTCACGGTGAGGCGTGTTGAGCGCTGAGCAAGTGCTGAGTCAAGCGCTGAGCAAGTGCTGAGTCAAGCGCTGAGCAAGTGCTGACTTAATTCAGAATTGGCAAGGCCGACACAGTACCCGTCTCGTGCCAGTGAAATACTGCTACTGTCGATGCGGTTGGTTCCATTTGAAACATGGCATTTTCCACCAAAATAAAGGGACACCACAAAGCTCGAAATCTGACCAACAGGGGGGTCTGAGCTCAGGGGGGGGAGATCGTTTGATTACAGATGTAATGTGACCATCTCCACATGAGCCGGGCAAATCTGACCAACAGCGGGGTCTGAGCTCAAGGGGGGGTGATCGTCAGAATCTTTCCACAAGGGCAGACATCGTCACGTTACAAATGTAATGTGACTATCGGGGGTCTGAGCTCAAGGGTAATAGATCGTCATGAACTGAACAGAGATGCTTACATTAGTGTTTGTGAAGAGGCTGAGCAATAGAGCTTGTGCAACAGCCCGGTGCAATGGAGACTGGGGCTGGTGTGAAAGAGGAATCGCAAGTGGCCGGCCTTGTGGACACAGACATGAAGCCAGAGATTGTCGCTGGCCTTGTGCAGCATGAGGCAATCAACAGAGACAACTTCAGGGATTGTGCTCATGGTGGCAGGTGAAGAGCTGTCTAAGCACAATCATGCCTGGAACTATTTGGACCACCACCATGGCCACAACCGTGACGAGTTTGCGCAGCAGCTTGCAGACCACTTTCCACCGTTGCCTGGCATTATGTACCACAAGTCCCACAAGTTGCCACCTCCACCAGAGGTTCTTTTTTTGCAGCTGGCCGATCTTTCATGGGACGCGAAGAGCAGCACCAAGCCACCCCCTTTTCGGGTCACGACTATGAGCTTGTTGGACGAGTTTCTCACGAACACCTTCCTGACATCGGGCGACCCCTTGCTTCTTTGGCAGTCTGCTGATCCTGGAAGCAGTGTGGCCTGGGCCCACTATGTCAAAGGAGCATGCCGCTCGGCAACGGCTTTGCTCCTTGCATCTTTGTGCATGCGCTACCAGTGGGACATCGGGAACCTTTCGCCCCCTTTGCAAGAATCGCTGTGCAGTGTGTGCGTGCAACAGGCCACATGTGGCAGTGACATTGCAAGCGTGGCGCTGGCGAACGCCCGATTGAGCTACCGCGGAAGCTTGCGGAAACCGCACTGTGCGCTGACCTGGTTGGGCAAGCTCTGCCTGTTGAAAAGCAAGGGCATCGCTCCATCGGTGATCCTGAAGGAGTGGAACCAGTCGTGCCCCAGAGAGGCGCAGATCAAAGGTGCAAAGAGCACCTCGCTTCTGGCGTTGCTGAACTTGGAGGACGAGGCCATCAGCTTCTTGTCGCAGCACGTGAGTGAGTTCGGATCTGGTGGAAGTGCGTTCACTGAGACTTGCTGGTCCAACAGAAAGATCATGCCAGGCAGCGGCCCCAAAGGATACCCCAAAGAATGGAACTCGCGGCTGACCATGTCTTCTCGTGGCTTTCTGCTCATGCTGAAGTACATTGATGTCACACATCGGAAGAAACTTCTTGGCGCCCGCAGCAAGTTGAGCAACACTCAGATGGAGGATGCCGCGATGCTTGTTCAGCTCTTGGTGTCCCTTGTGAATGAGTTGGAAGAACAGCTCCCGGTGACACCACATGTCATCGAGACAGAGGTGATTCAGCTGCTCATGAACGGTGATATGAACCTGGAGCTGCAACTCCAGGGGGCCCTCTCGGAGAAGCAAAGCAATCTGAGCCCGGCAGACATCCCGACTCTGAAGGCCGTCATGCAGAAGCACGTTTCCGGCTCAGAGGCCAAGCTGCACCAGATCGGCCAAGGAGCGACCCTCATCCAGCCAGGTCAGATTGAGCGGCAGGAATTTGACATGGCCATGGCCAGCTTGAAGCATGACGCTGATGTGTACCGGGTGTGGCTCACGCGCAGCAAAGACAGAGATGCTGCAATGTACCACCAGACCTTGCAGTGGAAGCTCACGCGCCACTTCTTGGCACGCAGCTCAGAGCACTGGCGCATGGAGTTTGGCGTGCTGAGCTCTGCAAGTCAAGCTCAGAAACTGGTGTTCGAGTGCATGAAGCACATCTCCCGACTTGAGCACGTTGCTTCAGACAACATCCTTTGCGTTTGCCTCTTGAATTGGGCAGCCCCAAATCTGTTCACTTCGGCATTGCAACGCGACCAGGCTGCGCTTATGGGAGGCCTATGCAACTCTTCAACCAGCAGCTGCATCGGAGTGTTTGTGGCGCCAACGTTCACCTTCCAGCGTGGCAAGCTGTACCTCACAGAGAAGAATTGCCATGAGCTTCTTTCTGGTTCGAACCTGAACTTGGATCACCTATGTGTGCTGCCGTTCAAAGGTCGTAACGACGACCGCGAACGGCGGTCATTGGTGCAAATGGCTCGGGTGTGCCAGCCCATGGACGAGGCCTGTGCCAAGCAGACCAGCGAAGCATTCAGAACTTCCAGCCTTATGAGAAAGCCACTTCTAGATGAAGCAGACCTTTTGCTCACAAAGGAGATGATCCAGATTGAGGACATGGAGGAGACGGCCTTGCCATCGTCAACAGACTCCGCAACTCATGCGTCCCAGGCAGAGAAGGCGCAGCAGTTGGGGGTTTCAGCTGCAAGAAGCATTGTGAGGGCCTGTGCCCAGCATGAGAATCCTGCGCACAGTGGCCGGGTTGCTCACCTTTTCATTGACCTGAGCCCCCACACACTGGATTTCGCCAGAGCAGTCGCGCTTGAAAGGGGAAATCAGCCGATCTTCTACTTGGGTTTGACCAGGGACGTCAATGAGGAGGAGTGGTCCAAGTGTTTCATGCGTGACTTTCTTGCAGATGGTTTCCTGGATGGTTCCTTGACCTTGCCCAGCAACATGTCGTTGCCACCAGGCGAGGTTCCCAGTGACATGCACCAAGCTGCTCCTCCTTTGCCCAACCTGCACAGCTTCGTGCTGAACAAGTCTCAGAAGATGGACGGCCTTCCTACTTTGAAAACGCCAGACAAGGTGCTGGCACAATGGAGCGAGCATCCCCGATTCAAGACGGAGTTCCTTGAGTTTTTGGCAGATGTGCGATCCACTTTGCCAGTGGATTTGGCCACAGACAAGAACAGCAACGGCAAGCGCGAGCACGAAAATCCTGCACCCGTGCCCAACAATGCCAAGAAGCCGAAGCTTGAAGTTGGCATTGGAAGCCCCGGCGCCACACCTGATTGCATTCCCGTGGGCACTCTGCCAACTCCTCTCACATGGGAAGCAGACTTGCACCTAGCCAAAGGCAAGGGCAAGGCCAGCGTTGTCATCACCTTGGGCTCCCGCATCTGGCTCGTCAACCGCAGTGACAAGCCGGTCACCTTGGACAAGAACACAGTCGTTGCCGGCTTCTACAAAGGCAAATGGTGGCACAAGAAGCCAACCGACTCTCAGGAGCCCGCATCTTCAGACATCCTCTTCTCGCTGCAGGATGCTGATAGTCTTGTCCAGATTCAGGCCCGGGCGCACACCTTGGGCGCATGCGTGCAAGAGCGGCGCAAAGTGCAGCCGGACTGCACACAGTGGCATACCATGACTTGGTCGACAGCCCCTTGCCAAACAACCCCACTTTCTTCAAGTGCAAGTTGAACCACTCGATCTACTGGGGGGTTCTTCCAATCCCAGCTGAGAGCAAGGCCTGCACAAAGGATGAGGATGGCAAGTTCAGTGTGCCCAGCCACCATCTGGCCGGGGTCGTTGACACACAGCGGTGGGATGGCTGGGCTTCCAAGTTGGTGTGGTCTTGCAAATGGGCAACCACAGCAGCAAAGGGACTCCAGCCTTGTCGGCCGACGATCATTCTCACCCGCCCAGTCACGATGCCTGCCAAGACTGCTGTGGAGTTGACAAGTGGCGCAAGCACTGGCAGTGCCGAGCCACCTGAGCCAGCCCTGTAATGATCTGACCGTATCATGAGGCAAGTGTTGCTCTGGGGCATTCAAGTTTTGTGCTTTGCCAACAATAAATGAAAATTAACAGCGTTTTGGAGCACTGATGAATGCCTGGGTTGAGCACACGCTTGCAATCTGGGATCTATGGTCCCGTAGACTCAATCAAATGGAAAAACAACATGATGCATTGCCCGCATGCTTGTTTTGCGCAGTCAGTGGTGCAGTTTTTGCAGCCTTGCTTTGAGTGTCACTTCGCTTGTCTGATCTTGGTGCCAGGTGCATACACTTTCTGCAGCTTGGCCCTGAGATTGCCGTTATGCTCTAGCGCACGCCCAACTTGCTCTTCAGTCAGTTCTCCATAGCCGAGGAAAGTTCTTACATCGCTGATTCTTGCAAATTTCATAGCCACTTGCTGTGAAATATTGCTCTCTTTCAGGTCATTGATCATCCTGTGGCGCCCGCTGTGCGTGCGGATCTTCTCGGCCTCCACGAAGGCCGACTTGGGAGGTTTGAACGTCTTGCGAAGACGCGCGACAGCCTTGCAGGCAGTGTCCTTGACACGGTGGGAGTCTTTTGCGTCAGCCCTGTTTGCCGGGAACAAAAAATCATCATCGTTTTCCGGCCACGTCCAGCAGTCTCTGAAAGAGACTTGCCCGCGCACTCCCATATTTCGACTCCTTTTGCGTGATTTGCCGTTGTCCCTCAAGCTCTTGAGAAACGGCAGGAATGCGCCCAATAATGACTTGTTCACAGCAGCCTGGTTCTTGAGAGCCCCAATGTGCACTCTTTTCCCAGTCCACTGGAAGTCGCGCTTGCGTAAACGCAAAACTTCTGTTATGCGCAGGCATAGGCAATGACTGAGGACCAGCGCGACCCATAGCCAAGTTGGCCCAGACACCAAGACATGCCCAATCCAACATCCCCATAAAGGGCCCGGCAGACTTGATGCTTTTCCCAGGCTGTAGGCCGGAGAATGCTTCTTTTTCGGTCGCCCAGGCTTTCTTTTCATGGCCGCCATTGCCGCAAGGTTCGCAGTAGAAAACGCAAGAAATAAAGTGGTGCCAAT